CGGTGGAGAGGAGCTTGGGAAAAAGGAAAGTGTGACGGCACTTAAGGAGACAGTCTTCTCACAATATGGATGTGGGGGGCCGGCGCCCTGGCTCACTTGGCTAATCCTCCGCCGGCATTCCATATGGGCGCTGGTTCTAGTCCTGGCTGCTCCTCTTCCAATCCAGCTCTCTGCTGTGGCCTGGGAAAGCAGTAGAAGATGGCCTAAGTGCTTGGGCCCCTGCATCCGCATGGGAGACCAAGAAGAGGCTCCTGGCTCCTGGCTTTGGATCGGGGAAGTTCCGGCTGTTGCGGCCATTAGGGGAGTGAATCAATGGAAGGAAGACCTTTCTCTCTGTCTCTTCCTCTCACTGTCTGTAACTCTACCTCTCAAATAAATAAATAAATAAATAAAATCTTTAAAAAATATATAGAAGTGGGATCTTAGGCAATGAGAGAGTCCACTCACCTTAATTTCCTGGGTTGATTCCTATCATATGTGGGCATTTACCTCAGCCTCGTATATTACACTCATCCCTGCCCTGGCTTTAGTTTCTAATTCCTTTGCTCTTTGATATCTTAAGACAGACTGAAACCCTCTTCTTCCCAAAAGAGCACCTGTCACACTTAGGAGTTTATGTTCCTTGTGTATGATAATAAAATGGCATGCTTATTTTTCTGTTCGCATTTTGCATGAAAAATGTACTTAAGATTTTTAATAAAAACAAATAACATCTCACTGATGACCAAGCAGAAGTAGTGCCTTCTTTAAGTCATTGTTCAGTCAATAGCAGTACTTCTAGAAGCTTCTGCACTGTTCTCCAGATACAAAAAACTGCTATATTTCTTGGCATTGTAATAATTCCACATTGAGGCTTGTATTAATTGTTTAGACTTGTATTAATTGTTCACAATTTGTCTCCTTAACTACAGTGTCAGCCTCTCCAAGGCAAGCAACATGCTTTATTCATCGAATTCACACTTGGTGTCGGATACTTATTTTGTGGTCAGTACATTCTAGGAGGGATAGTTTCTTACTCAGCTGGTGTCAAGAAGAAATTGCAGACCACAGATTGGTGGATGTAGGGATCCTTTGTTCTAGTGAGCAGCCTCCTCAGCCACCGTTAATGAGAATTTTCAGCCTCCCTCTGCCATACCATTTTTATTAGCATTTCAAGGAATCCCAGTGATTCTGAGTGCTACTGTCTCACCACAACTTGTTCGGATCATCATTACCATCTCCCCCAAAAGCACAGACACAAGAGGAGGCTGTACTTAGACCAGAGCGCCCCCCTTCCCTTCAGGATACCAGGCTCCAGGCCCGAGGGGCTCATCTCCTTGTGTAGCTCCTGTCACCACCACAAGTCTCAGACGCTCAGGTCACCTGCCATCCTCAGGTTCCTTTACACCCTAGGCTCTGCATGTCCCCTGATCGCTGACCCAATCTGTTTCCCTTCACAAACAGCCCCTCTTCATCATGTTTCCCAGAACTCAAGAGTCTGTCATCATGCGCTGGCATCTCTCAGTTACTAAGCTGTTGGAAAGCAATACACAACCTTCTTGAATGTTCTACTTCAAATTTATGACCATAAGTATCAAATAGGCCCTCAAGACTTCTTGATGACTACTACATTTCCATAATACATTCATTGTCCTGCTCTCAGAGATGAATATTTCACATCCTTTTGCTCTCCAAATGTTCAACATTCTCTAATCCTTCCTCGCTGTTAGCTGACAATCTTGCTTGTTATTTCACTGCAGATGTAAAGAATATTCCACCACATCTCTATCTGTCTTCCTTATATCTACTTGTCTCAGTGCTCAGGTATTTAGCCTTCCCTTTCACTTCCCAGCCTCCACTTATGCATTGAATTCCATCACTGCTCTGCCTAAGCCATGCGTGTTTCTCTCTATCCTATCACTCTCATCAGAACATAAACATGACGTCACAACCCCCACCTTTGACAATTTCTTGGTTCCCTCCAGCTACAGTCTACTACCCAGCTCTACTCTAGCAAAGTTTCTCATGAAACTTTCCACTTTCCAACTTTCCGTTTCCACCCCTTCAGATTTTGTTCTTTCTAGAAAGCACATAATAAGGCTTTATTTCCCATCACTCCACTGAAGCCCTCCTCCCATCACAAAGGACCGGGTTATCGGGAAACCCAGTGTTGGTTCCGTCTTCCTCTTCCTTGATCTAGCAGCTCTATGGAACACACTGGATTGCCTGTGCCATCCTGAAACGTCTTCTTTCAGCCTCAGGGACACCACACTCTTGAATTTCTTCCTTTCTCCCAGGCCACTCTTCCCAGTCTCTTTTGCTGGTTGACTCTCTTCCTTTACCTTGCTGTATCAGAATGCCTTCAAGGCTCAGTTCTCTTCTCTTAGTATCTTCTTTTCTCTTAATACCCTCTCTCTTGTAGGTCTTTCCCTTCCTGTGGCTTTAAATATGTTGATGTGTCCCAAGCTTATCCACAGCTCACCCTTCCTCCAAGCTAGAAATTCATAAATCTGTCTACTTGGCATCTCCACTTAGATGTTTGGAAGACTTTTCAACATATTGTAAATGGAATAAATTCTAAATCCCACCCCTCCAGCCTTTTCCAGCTGTATCATCCCGGCTCTTCCAATTTCAGTAAGATGCACTACCATTTTCCCAGTTACTCAGCCACCAAACCTAGAAATTATTAATTCTTCTCTCTTTCTCACATCCTATGTCAAACTTGTCAGCTCTGTCTTTAAAATAAGTGCTTAGTATTATCACCCTCACCACCGCCACCTGTCCCAACTAAATCCAAAGCATCATGATCTTTCTCTCCTCTGCTTTAACTGGACTCCCTGCTTCCATTTTTGTCCCCCCTACATCCCACTCTCCACCCAACAACCAGAATGACCCTTTAGAATCATGAAGGGGGCTAGCCACTCACCTGCTAAGAACCCTCCAATGGCATCTCAACACAATTAGAATATTAAGTGCACTTCACTTTGGCCTACAAGACCTCATGTAATTTTGATCCCGTCTTCCTAAGCTGTCTTTGAACTTGTCTTCCCCTTTGCTATCTGTAGCTCAGCCACAATGCTCTCTTTGCTCTTCCTTGAACAAGTCTAGCTCTTTCCTATCTTGGCTGTTCTTTGCGCCTGAAATCTCTTCCTCCCAAACCTCGCAAACCTTGCTCTCCACATCAAAGACTGCTCAAACACTACTTCTAGACAGGTCTTTCCTTTCCACCCACCCCATCATGCTTGTCACTCTCTGTGCTCTTACTCTGTTGGCTTTTTATATCCTGCCTGTTTGTCCTTGACCTTTCAGGATATATTTACTGGTCTATGTCTATCTCTTCCAAGAGAACGCAAACTTCCCATGGGCAAGAATTTTTCTGCCTTGTCCATTCTAAGTGTCTGAAACAGCTGTTCAATGAATATCTGATGCGTGAGTGTGCGAATGAATAAATGTGCCAAGTTCAAAAGACAGTAAAGAGTGGAATGCAGGAAGTAGGTAAGTAGGTAAAAAGTGTTATTTTGATAAACTCAAAACTGTGATGCACTTCCAGGAGCCCAGTAATACTGATGGGCGGGCACAAGGAAGGCCAGGTGGCAGACTGCTTCTCCAGCAGCGCTGTTGGATAGAAATTTCTGCAATGACAGAAATGCTCTACATCTCTGCTGTCCAAAACAGTAGCCACTGGCCAATGCATAGCTATTGAGCGCTTAAAATGTGGCTAATGAGACTGAGGAACTATATATTAATATTGTTTAATTTTAATTTTGATTTAAATAGCTTTGTGAGACTGGTGGCTATGGTTTTAGGACCTGAAGAATCCCTTCCCCCGACTTGTGAATTCATGATAATAATGCATGGAGCTGCTGAGAAGACTAATGAAATAAAAAAGCCCAGTAAAATGTCTGGAACATGGCTGGCACTCAAAAAATAATGGCTGCTGTTTATGACACAGGGTTGCAAATTGAGGCATTGTAAGTACATGCCATTTAAATTTGGCTCTAAAGCACCCAAAGCATTTTATTAATTTTTACCACTACTTTTTATTTCTTAGAGTTAGTAAATAGCCAGTGTGTGAGTCTATATTTGATGTCACAAACTAAAAATAGCAAACAACCATTTTGGGATCCCATTGAAGACCTTTCAGAGACAGATGACTATTCCAAGTGTATCAGCCTGTTGATACTTACAGAGCTGATTAATTTTGACAACAGCTAGTTTAGCATCTGCAAAAATTGGATTGTTAACATCATTGTATTATTTACAAGCAATGTCATCTGCAGCTTCCCGGATGACTTTGGCTAAAGATAACATTTGGTTTATTACTTACTATTAAAGTAAAGGAATAAGTATTTGCTTATCATAAACACTATGATGAATTCTTTAAGGCTTAAATTGGAGATGAAAGCATCACCTCCCACCCCTGCAAGTGGTTCACCATACCACTCTTCATGATAAATTCAGAAAATAGAGTTAACACAGATACAGAGCATAAGCAGACCATTATAACCAACCTTTGTGAATAATCTAATGTATTAATGAAACCACACTTTTGTCCAGAATAAGCATCGTGTTTGTTTTCAGGCCAAGAGAATTTGCATTCCCATTCCTTAGCAGAGTGGAAGCCGCATTCCACAGCGGCCTGAGTTCTTGTTGGAGACTCCTGGAGACTCGAAAGAGGGCGGATGTATTTAAATTAACTACAGGCTTAAAGGCTTTAAGAAAAGTCGAGATTCTCATAAAGGAGACCAATTAATCTGCATCCCTTGGAAGCCACTTTAGAGTAGCTGGAAAGGTGCCCTAGGACCTAATGTAAATGAGACTGCAGGAGAAAGAGAATGAAAATTCACGTTTCCACCAGGGAGCCTTTGGGAATGCCCTGGGAACTCTGCTCTTTGAAGCGCGGATCCTGCCCCTTCTACCCAGACAGAGAGTCTGGAGTAACCGGGGTGGGGGCTGGGCCTGGGGGTGGGGTGGGGGATGAAGACCCCTGAATGGTAAGAGGAGCTGCGGGAGGGACTTACCGATGGGCATCACCAAGAAGAAAGGCAGCCAGCAGAGGACGAAGCAGCCGACCACGATGCCCAGCGTTTTGGCCGCTTTCTTCTCCCGGGAAAACTTGAGGAGCCTCACGGAGAAGTGCGTCTTGTTTTTGGCGCTGGCCACCCCGCTGCCTCCGGCGGGAGCATTTTTCCGGTGGATGCGGAGCGTCACTTGCTCCGAGTCGGATTTGTCGGTCTTGAGGCCGGACTTGAGGCCCCGGCTCTCCCTCTTGGCCACCACGTAGACCCGGCAGTACATGGCCAAGATGATGGTCAGAGGCACGTAGAAGGAGCCCAGGGCCGAGAAAAGCACGTAGCCCGGCTCCTCGTTGATCTGGCAGATGGTCTCGTCGTCCGGGGCCGGCTGCCTCCAGCCGAACAGGGGCCCGACGGAGATGACCAGGGAGAAGGCCCAGACGCAGAGCAGAGCCCGGAGGCCTCTGCGCTGGGTGACGATGGTGGGGTAGCGCAGCGGGTAGCTCACGCCGATGTAGCGGTCGATGGAGATCACGCAGAGGCTTATGATGGACGCGGTGCAGCACAGGACGTCCACCGCCGCCCAGATATTGCAGAACACTCTGCCGAAGGCCCAGTAGCCCAGGATCTCGAAGATGGCGGAGAAAGGCAGCACCGTGGAGGTGAGCAGGAGGTCGGCCACGGCCAGGTTGACGATGTAGTAGTGGGTAACCGAGTGCAGGTGCCGGTGACAAGCCACGGAGAGGATCACCAGGATGTTCCCCAGCACCCCGAAAAGGATGAGGCCCCCCAAGATCACTCCGAGCAGAATGGCTTTGGAAATGTTCACCGGTGCCGGCGGGTGGGTGCAGTTGGAGCTGTCGGAAGCATTTCCAGAGAGAAACACCATGGTCCCGGCCGGGGCCGGGCGAGCTCCGGCTCTCTCGGGCCACCCTCGCGCGGGGGCGGAGGCGGGAACCAGGGAGTCAGAAGGTCTCGGTGCGGGAGAGCCTTGCCAGCTGGGCCTGGCTGGCGGCGAGAGAGAACGCGCGGGTGGGAAACAATCCGGGCCGGTCCTGGGAACCCTCGGAGGGCCACGCTAAGGTGCCGGCCATTACCGGCGGCATGGCTGGGGCCGCGCGGGGCCGCCCCGAGACTCTCTCCACCTGCTGCGCTCTCCCGGGGGCCCCCGAGCCCCTCCCTACTCGTGGCAGTGCGTGAAGCTCCAGGCGACTCGCTGCCAAAACGCAGTCCTAGAACGAGGCGGGTCCGCTTTTCTGCACTGTCTGATTCGCCTCGGTGCGGAAAAGACTGCGCATTGTACACAAAATGTGGAATTCAAAATTCCAGCGCCAGTCTTCCCACAGGCAAGCACGGATCGGCCGTCGACGCACAAAGGCAGCGGCCGTGGCGCGTGCGCTCGGCTCCCCGCCCGCAGTTACCCACGGCTGGTCTGTCCCTCTGCGGGCTCGCGCTGGCTCCAGCTTTTGGCTCGAGGGCCGGTGAATATGGGTGTGCAATCCTTGTCTAGACCCAGGCGGCTCCGGGCGGCGTTTGCCGGTGGCCTCCTGCAAGAGCGCAAAGAGGAAGGCGGATGGTGACCCAGGCGCCCAGGGAGCGGGGTCGCGCAGAGCCGGGCGGGCAGAGGGACCCCAGTCTCGAGACCCGCCAACTCTGCGGTGCACCAGAGGCTTGGAGCAGCCTTGCCGAGGGTTACGCGGGAGGGGATTGCGTGCCGCGCCGGGCGCTGGGAACCCGCCCCCGCGCGCTCCGCCTCGCCGCCTCGGAACCAAGTTCAAGATCCGAAGCCAAAAACAGAAGAAAGAAAAAGAAAACAACAATCCCCGAAACCCTTCAAGGCTCAGAGCACGGCTGGAGTGCGTGCTGCACCGAGCCCAGCGGGTGGAATCCGGAGGGTTTAGCCGGCTGTCATTTGAACAGGTTGCATCGCAGTCACCTGGGGGAGGCGACCGCTGTGACTCGGGACCGCAGGGCCTGTACCACGCGCACGCTCCCGCCCGAGGAATTTGCACTTGGGTGTGCAGAGCGCGCGGGCTTGTGAACCGGCCCTCCCGAGCGAAGCCGAGCGGGTGCGGAGCTGAGCGCTACCTGGGTCTGTCCAGAATTTGTCTCCAAGCCACAGGGCGGGCCGTCCCCCCGGGCGCGAGCCGCGAGCCACACCCCGGCTTCTGGGAAGCCCGGTGGGTGCAGGGTGCGTGTGTGCGGAAGGGGCTTCGCACGTGGCGGTCACTGCGGAAGCAGCAAGCTCGCGTGCCGGCGGACAGGGGACGCCACGGATTTTCTGGGTTGGGGAGGCCACAATTTGCGTCAGAAACCGGAGTTTTCACAACGGCACACAGAGCCAAGGATCCCCGGCCGGAGTGCGGGGCGGGGGCACGTGCTTCCATGCAAAGACCAGGGTGAAGCTCCCCAATGCAAGACCTCCCTGGTGGTACTAAAAGCAAGCCCCTGCAACCAACCGTTCTCTCTCACCTCGGGGCGATTCACTCAGGCTTAAAAAGACACTTGTTCACCAGAAGTAACTTTCCAGAATACATAATGCGAACGGGGGTTGGGTACCGGTGCTGGAGCGGCAGAGCCGGTGAGGAGAGCGAGAGGCGCTGGCGGCCGGTGAGGGTTCCCGCCCTCTCGGAGCCCAGGGGCGGTCTGACCTCAGCCCCCCCGGGCCCTGCGGGGTGCCAGCTCCCAGCTCCCTGCGCCGCAGCGCACTCACCTGAAGCGCGGATGCGCAGCCACCCGTCGGCGCGCGGTGGGCGAGCGGCCGCAGCTTCAGTCCCAGGAGCCTCCTGTCGCCTCTTCGTTTGGGGGTGAGGGGACCCTCTTCGGAGGAACCAAATCCTAGGGCTTGTGCACCCGCTGACTCACCCCCGATGTCGTTAAGCTCCTGGCTCACTGTCTCGTACTTCACCTGGGCATTTAAAAATAAAGAGTGAAAAGAGAAGAAAAAAAATGCAGCCAACCAATAACTCCACTATGACCCTTTTAATATTCAGCTCCCTGACACCAGAAAAGAACGGCGAGCAACTTTGCAGCTCTCGCTGACGTAACACAGGCTGTAGCCCAGCTAGTACCGTAATCTCCTGCTGTTACCGTATTACCCTGCGGCAAACTGCGCAAGGGTGTGGAGGCTGGTTTTCTCGCGCGCGCGCGCGCGCGCGTGTGTGTGTGTGTGTGTGTGGCAGGGAAGAGTTGTTTCTAGTAAATAACTTCTTTATATGGGCTGCTTTTAAAATTAAAGAAACATTGACACTTGTGCCAGACGTGGCTGAGTGTGCGATGTGTTTACAGAAACGCCTAAGGAAGTTACTTTGAACAGCTGGACTCGATTAACACTTGTTAAATCAAAAATTAGCCTCATGTGCCAAAATGTGCAGGTACGTTTTAGGATTTTCAGATATTTCAAAAAATAACCGAAATCAAATAAATTTCAATACATTTATTTGTAATAAGATTACCTTTACAGAAAGATAATAAATTCCTTCCCTTGACCTATTTAATATGAGTAACCTCTTCACACACATGGATTTAAAAACCATTTTTCCCACTGTGGTTTCTCACATGGTTTACTGTTTTTAAAATGCCACCTATTTTTTCTCTGTTTTCAGATGAAAATGTCTTTTTAAAGGAGTGTTGCTTCTTTTTAATTCCCTTTGCTACATCGATAGTTGGACACAACCAGTGTATGTACTTAATTTTTTTTTTCTGGTAAGTTCCATGCTATTTACCTTTTGACTGGATAAAACCATATGCATTTCAGAATACTGAGAACATACAAGAATTTTCTCCACTTGATTCCCACCTTTCAAGTCATCTTCTTGAATCTTTATTGATTCAGATAAACATAATGTCCTTAAGCCTTACTAGGTTCCATTAAACTTGGTAATAAAGCTTTGGACAGTGGTATGCATTTAAATCCCCTACCTTGACCAAGCATTTATTAGCATTTTGTATTATAAAATATTTGGGAGGTTTTTTTATAGCAACAAATTTCAAAATTCCGTAGAGGAGAATCGGGGAGCCTGAGCTCATTGAAGATCTAGTGTTTATATTTACTTCTCTTTTGTATACAATATATGCACCTAGTCCCCTGATATAGGAATGGTACCCGTACCTACCAAATTTTATTTCACTTTAATATTATTTTAAAAATATATGTGCACAAATGGTATTCTCATCCATAAACTGAATTTCATACTACAGAAAGAACACACGGGTGGGCAGGCAGCAAGCCTGGGTGCTTCTAGTCTCAGTTCTCTGATTACTAAGTCTCTGGTGCTCTCTGGGTCCCATCAGGCACAAGACACTAGACTACATTTCTTAACACCTTATCACCTAACGTGTGTATAATGTCTGTTCTTCAGAAATTCCACCTGCCAAAGGGAGATATATTGTTTCATTTCATATTCACTAACTGTATGCCACGAACAAGAGTTCTCCATTAAGTTCCAGGGCACATATGAGAAGTAGTGCATTTAGCAAGAAAGACAATTGAAAAAATTGCTCAGATTTGTAATGTCAGCATTTACCAGGCTCTTTGGAACTCTCTCCCACTCCCCAAAATCAACCATATGCACATTTCCTCACCCTGTGGATAGAATCACTGATATTAATAATGGAAGAGCAGGTTTTTTGTGCTATCAGGTAGGTCTGTCAAATCTGCTTCTCAGCCCATGAAGATCAGGCTCTGTAGCACTACCTCTTGCACTAATTTTTTGGTTGCTAGCAAGTGACTCACAGTGACTCCCTATCCATCGCTTACTCTTAAAGAACGGTTGACATGGATGGATATGTGTAGGTGGAGTGAAGCTAGAGTATACTGTGGAGTCATAAAGACACTGTCCTCCTATGAGAATGTAGCAAAAATTTAGCTTTTTCTGAGCTTTGGTTTCCTAATTTTTAAAGGGACAATGAAACCCCACTGGATGTAATCAGAAGCCTTCAAGAAGTTCATGGAAAAATGTATCTAAAGAGAAAACCATGTAAGGATTTCAAAAAAGTTTTGCAGCAAAATAAACTTATCCCTCCGTTTCCCATGAGCTTTTTGAAGTTTGCTTGTGTTAGGGTTGAATGAAATTGTGTCTCTCGAGAATGCAGCTCATCATGCTTGTTAACTATTTTTTTTTTTTTTGACAGGCAGAGTTAGTGAGAGAGAGAGACAGAGAGAAAGGTCTTCCTTTCCATTGGTTCACCTCCCAAATGACCGCTATGGCCCGTGCACTGCACCAATCCAAAGCCAGGAGCCAAGTGCTTCCTCCTGGTCTCCCATGTGGGTGCAGGGCCCAAGCACTTGGGCCATCCTCCACTGCCTTCCCGGGCCACAGCAGAGAGCCAGACAGGAAGAGGAGCAACCGGGACAGAACCGGCGCCCCAACCGGGACTAGAACCTGGGGTGCCAGCGCTGCAGGCAGAGGATTATCCTAGTGAGCTACGGCGCTGGCCCCGTTAACTCTTATCACTAACATTAAGAACCCTTTTCCCATTCTGCTCATTTTGTGTGTTACTCTAAAGTGAAGTATACTTACAGGTTTAGCTGGAGAGTGTGCCAAATGACCTGAGCATTATGCTTCGACCCAATGGTGAAAGCAGAGTGGCCCAATTGGGGCCAAGGTAGGAGAGCTGGCTCTACCCAATGGCTGCTCCTGCTTTTTCCCCACTTCCTCCCTCTGTCTACATCTTGAAGGACCATGCATATTTTTGTGAACACCCTGGCCCATATGTCTAGACAGCTTCTTTTGGCCTTGGGCCTCGAGTGTACATACTTGTGATGTTGTCTGCCTGAAAAAAGGCCTAAAGGTCCTGAAATTCGTTGGGTGGACATTTGGAGCCAAGGATTCTGGGCCCCAGAGCGTGGTCTGGAAGGAAGGTTATTACCATGCTGGCAAATCATATTAGTCCTGTGGAATCTTTGCCCAACGGGGAAGTCAATGGCCAAGGGGAGTCTCTCTTGCTTGGACTTACTGGTGCAGCTGTGTAGAAATCACAGGTGTGATGGAAGCTGAGCAATCCCCTGAAGGAGAGAGTCTAGGAAGATGGTACTGGCTGCTGTAGAGCTTGTAGGAGCAGCAGGATTCGGGTTGGGGGATAAAAACTGAGGAATTTAAATCAACAGCCGAATCATAGAGCGATGTGTGTGTGTGTGTGTGTGTGTGTGTGGCCAGAAGCTCTGGAGGAATCTGCCTAGAGAAAAAGTGCTGGACAATTAACATATGCCTAATGCCTTCAACTGGCAGGACTTGATTCTGTGACGAGGAAGAAAGTCAGCAAATGAGACTTCAAAGTTAAAAAGATTGTCACTCATTCTTTTAGAAAACAATACACAGTGGAATAAAGAGCTGTTTTCTAGGATTTATGATTCTAAGTGACAGAGTAGAGGGCTTAATGTTAGTATCCACCAAAAAGACCTGGCTTTTCAACTAATTCTCCTAAGGCTTAAAAAGTTAAAGTGAGAGGAAAATGAAAAACATTGCTCAGAAAGATATTGACACAGTATCAAATCACAATTCTCCAAACAAGCGTTGTGTTCTAATCCTTTATCGAGCACAATACACAGGCACTCCTGAAGGTGATGAGATAATAATTCTGTCTTTGGTAGCATTTGTCCAAATTCCCATTACCCTTAGAAAATAATTTTGCTCCATGTCCATGCACCACATCATCCTTACAGACCCTATTAGAAGAGCAAGGTGAGAATACGGAGTCATATCAGCCTATAACTGATCAGGTCAATGATAGTTTCGTGTTTGATAGCAAATGTGAGTTGAGACATGTCAATCAAATTCTTTCAACACCTTTGTTAAATGTCTTCTGAAACAAGAAGTATAGATATACTTTACTTCGTTGCTGATGGGTTATTGTAAACCCATTAAAGTGTTTATTCATCTGTATTTGGTTGTAAAACATATGCTGGGGTGCCCGCGTGGTGGCACAGTGAGTTAAGCTGCCACCTGCAATGCTGGCATCCTGGTTCGAGAACCAGCTGCCTCACTTCTGGTACAGCTCCCTGCTTATGTGCCTGGGAAGGCAGTGGAGGATGGCTGGGGTGCTCTGGGCCCTGTCATTCATGCGGGAGACCATAATGGAGCTCCGGGATTCTGGCTTCCACCTGGCCAAGCTCTAGTGTTGTGGGCATTTGGGGAGTGAACCAGTGGATGGATCTCTCTGTCTCTTTTTCCCTTTCCTTCTCTCTTTTTACTCTGCCTTTCAAATAAATAATATTTTGAAATGTCAGAAACATATGAAAATAAAAGTGACTTGTAATCTTACAATTGGAGAGTCACTGTTATATAGCTGTCACATTTTCCCAGTTTTTGTTCATGTGTGTGAACTGTAGACACATTTCTATAATGTATTATGTACACATATTTAATTCTGTTATATGTTAAACATTATATCCATTATCTAGAACCCTATAATCATAGTGTGTCTAAAATTATGTATTTTACTTTTTTCACTTGCACATTTCATGAAATCCTGCTTATATTAAGTTTGAGCCAAAACACGGTTTATGACAGCTGCACAGCAGTTCCAGGCTATGTGTATGCTGGGATCCGAATGTTTGTGTCCGTGAGAAATTCATCTGCTGACATGCAACCTCCAAGGCGATGGCATTAGGAGGCCAGGCTGGAGGAGGGCTGTGCTCTCATGGATGAGATGAGCACCCTTATAAATGAAGCCCTAGAGGGCTCCCTAGCTTTTCCACCACGTGAGGATGTAGCAAAAAAGACGGCCACCTGCGGTCCAGGAAGTAGCCCTTCACTGGACACCTGGAACCCTGATCAGGAACACTGCAGCCCCCAAAACTCTGAGCTATGAGCTTTGGTTGTCTATAAATTACTCAGCCTCCGGCATTTTGGATACTTAG